GAATTTCTTCCTAATGGCTTCACTCAATGGTGCTACATCATGTCTTGTGCCCACCAGCCTCACCCCATCCTCTCCTGGTGAACCCATGCCCCAAACCAAGGTGCAGGCATAAGGACCCGTATGGGAGAAGGGATGGGGAACCAGAGAGGAGCTTTTACCATAGAGCAGCTCTTCAAAACATCTTCGGAAAACCCTGAGGAGCACCTGCAAGAGGCCCCATTTCTCCCTATCTTCCCACTTCCCCCTTCAGGCTTCCTCCAGTGCAGGTGACCAGCCCAGAGGGACCTGCCTCACCCAGCGTGACCATTTCATGGTGCCACAGAAGGTCAACGAGCTCCAGGCAAAGTGGCAGGAAGATTTCCATGGTGGGCATCACATTGTGGTGGATATCTGACCCAGCATGACCATTTCATGGTGCCGGAGAAGGTCATGGAGCTCCAGGCAAGGTGGCAGGGAGATTTCCGTGGTGGGCATCACTTCATGGCTTTAGGTAAGACACTTATGGAGTTGTGTTTAGAGATGATTTGAGCTGCAGCGCTATTTGGAACCATATTTCACCGCCAGCTTTGCCAAGCAGAACGTGTAGGTCCCTCCATTCCCTTTAGGAAGCTGTAGGTCCATGTGCACAAGCATGGGGTGGAGAAACTTCTCAATCCATAACCAAGGAACTGGTGAGAGTGCTGGAAACCAAAGTTCTGGCTCTGCTATCAGGAGAAAGGATTAATAATGGGGGTAACATTCCCCCAGGATGTGGTCACGGTCTCATTCAGGAGCCGTTCCCTCTCCCAAAGGGTGGAGGGACCTTTACTCTCTACAGTCTACGTTCCTGAAAAAGGGATTTGGGACTGCAAAATTAAAGCTTTCTCACTTAATTCTAAGTTTCTGATGAAGCCAGAGGAGGCTGGTCCTGGCACTGCTTGTGTGAAGAGCTCACACAGTTGGAGTTACAACCCATGGGATGGGTCAAAGGCCGATCAACTCAGCCTGAGCATCCTGCAAGACATCTAGGAAGTACTTAAGAGGCGACGCTGCCAACGACACGTCATAAATTATGGATCATAATGGCCATTTTCGATGAAGGTCTGAGAAAACTCCGAAATCGTGCGAAGCACAGGGAGGAAAACACAACAGGGAGCAGAGCCCCACGTGCCAAACCCCGGCACAGAAGGATGGAAATTCCTAATTACCAACCATCCTCGTTGGGAGTTTATCCCCTGAGGAGGCCACGTCGGTGTCGCGCAACTTTGCGCCGTCCGTGCCCTTCGCGGTTCCGACCGCAGGGAGAAGGTTCTCAACATTCCTCAGACAGGGAAAGGCAGAACGAGAGAAGATTTAACTCCCACCCTAAATTATTCAAAAGAAAAGGGACTGCGCATCTTTAACAAGCCATCGTTTTATGAAGCAAGGTTAACATTTTTACTTGATTCAGTAGAATATTATAAACTCTCCGGGGTCCATTTGAGGACTTTCTACTTTGAGCAAAGGAACGGACTCAGCACTTTTTATATTATTTAGAGAATAAAATTAACCCTTAATGGCCCAAGCTGGTATTTCTCCTCCCCAGTTAAATATGGCCCGCTCAGCAATTTCTCCCCATATATAATTACAGGCTGCTATCCATCATCTGTAGGAGAATGCTTTTCTGACACTCTAAAAGTGACACGGTAAGCACTTTTACTAATAGAATAAATATTCTAAATATCTCTTTTATATTTTCATTTAAATTGGAATATTTTAAAAATAATTGTAGGGACCCTGCCTGCGTGGCCAGCGCTGGGCTGGAGGGAGGAGGCAGGATGCCCGTGTTTTCCTTCGGAGGAAATGTTTATCCTGCACAGAAGTCTCCTCCATGAGCTGCCACAAAAAGTAATTAGGCACAGACTAATTTATTAGCGCTTCCCTTCACTCTCACTGATGTCCTGCTTTCCTTAAAGCTCTCACTTTGGGTTTTTATTTCCCCCTTCCTTTCGCCTGGTTTTTGCTCTGTAGCGGTTTCTCCTCGGGAAACGAAGGGTTTTCTTGGAGAAGACACCATCCGATGTTTGTGGTTTGGGTTCTGGGACAGGCTGGTGGCTTTGCACGATGACACCACGGTGATGGGTGCTGAGCACCTCCAGCTTCACTTGGTGGGTGAAATCACCCAACCAGAGCTACAGGGATGGAGAAAAGGAGAGAAGATCTCCCTTTGGAGATCCAACTCAGAGCAGCGCGTGGATTCAAGCATCCGACTGCTCATCCCAGCAACTTCCTTGGGTGAAAAGCAGCCAAAATGATGAGGGAATTAGAAATCTCCAGGAGCAGCGAGTCTAAGCAAAACTGTGCTTAGGCAGACACTTATTCACGCATTCTCTATTAAATGCAATAAAATAATATCGTTCCATAGGCCCCGCTGGGGCGAATTTGGGACGGTGCCCTACGATCTGGCAGACTCAATGCACACAAAATGATTGTTTCATTAGCAGCTCCTTTTTTTTCAGCCAAAAAGATGATTTAGAGCTTTGCTTGCAAAGTTCCTGTCGTGTTTTCAACGTGGTACCTGAAGTCTCCAGCTCAAGGAGGAGGCTTTCACCGTCTCCTCCTCTTCATTTGCTGTCGGCTTGTGGAAGCAGTTGAACTAAGCCAGGATGTTGATGTGATGTCTTCTTCCATATCAAACAAACCCTAGAAGCCAGCAGCCAAGAAGCAGGCGGAGAGAGGAGGATGGTTCCCATCCTCCAGTTGGGTTTGCAGAGATGGGCCAATGTTGTAGAGCAAATCACAGAATCATTGAATGGTTTGAGTGGGAAGGGAACTTGAAAGGCCATCTAGTCCAATCCCCTGCCATGAACAAGGACATCTTGAACTAGACCAGGTTGCTCAAAGCCCCAACCTGGCCTTGAACCCCTCCAGGGATGGGGCATTGATTGATCTCCTCTCTGAGCGACCTGGGCCAGGGTCTCACTACCCTCACACCAAAGAAGTTCTTTCTGAGGTTGCATCTAAATCTCCCCTCTTTCAGTTTTGTCTCCTCCTCTTCATTTGCTGTCGGCTTGTGGAAGCAGTTGAACTAAGCCAGGATGTTGATGTGATGTCTTCTTCCATATCAAACAAACCCTAGAAGCCAGCAGCCAAGAAGCAGGCGGAGAGAAGAGGATGGTTCCCATCCTCCAGTTGGGTTTGCAGAGATGGGCCAATGTTGTAGAGCAAATCACAGAATCATTGAATGGTTTGAGTGGGAAGGGAACTTGAAAGGCCATCTAGTCCAATCCCCTGCCATGAACAAGGACATCTTGAACTAGACCAGGTTGCTCAAAGCCCCAACCTGGCCTTGAACCCCTCCAGGGATGGGGCATTGATTGATCTCCTCTCTGAGCGACCTGGGCCAGGGTCTCACTACCCTCACACCAAAGAAGTTCTTTCTGAGGTTGCATCTAAATCTCCCCTCTTTCAGTTTGAAGCCATTACCCCTTCTCCTATCACTCCGTGCCCTATTAAGAAGTCTCTCTCCATCTTTCTCACAAGCCCCTTTAGGGACTGGAAGGGGCTCCAAGGTCTCCCCAAAGCCTTCTCTTCTCCAGGCTGAACCCTCCCAACTCTCTCAGCCTGTCCTCCCAGCAGAGGGGCTCCAGCCCTCCCAACATCTCCGTGGCCTCCTCTGGCCCCTCTCCAACAGGTCCACGTCCTACTGATGTTGGTGGCCCCAGAACTGGAGGCAGCAGAATCCCCCCTCCTTGCCCTGCTGGCACAATGGTCAAAGGATTAGCGTAGTCAAAGGAGGAGCAGGAATTCCATGGCATAACCCACCCCAGAAGAGAAAAGCCTGGCAGCTCTTTAGCTGCAGCAGAAAAGCATCATCTCCATAAATCTGAGAATCCACCTTTGCTTTATTCAAACCTTGTGGCAAATTGACCAGCTGCCCCTTCTGGACTAGGACTTCTTGGGGGCTCTGATGTGACAGCATCGCTGCTCCCGCAAAGTTTGAGACAGCAGCTGGAAAAACCAAGCCAAGGTGGCCCATTTTTTGTTCACGGGACCCAAAAGAAACCCACGTGCTCTACTAACAAAAGAGTTGTTCACACAAAGATGCAAAAATATTATTAAATTAATGGAAAAGAGCAAAAAGGAGTTGTAGGACAATCGCTTCGGTTCCCAGGGGAACACCAGCAGAGCCAACCCTCTCCCTTCATCACTAAGCAAGGAAAGGTGACAATTCCGTCACTTACAAAGAAGGGGGGAGCCACAAGATGTTGGATAAACCCCACAATTTCATTTTTTTCCATGTAACAGCTCTAAAATTCCTTTGGAATCCAGCAAGTGGCAGCCAGCTCCAGGCCCAACTCCAGGAAAGCTGCTCTCTCTCAAGCTCTGCACGTTACAAGCTCATGGAGGAGGTTGCGAGTCTGCCAAGGATGCACATAAAGTCCATGTAGGACTTCACTGCATTGTTCTCAACCAGAGGGACCCCCGGGACCTGGAGGTGGGCTCCGTGAAGCCCTCAGGTAGATATCTGAGCACAGGTTGAGGCTGGGTGAGGAAGGGCGGTCTTGCTGCTAAGACTGAGCAAACTTAGGTCTTGGGAGACCTAAGTTTTAACCCATCACGGAGCCAGCGTGCAAAATAAACATTAATACCTGTGGTTTTTCTACGTAAAGCAGGGACTCAAAAGCCTTTTCTTTTGTTTCTCATCTATTTAACTGAGCAATTTTCAAGGCAGGTGGTATCAGCTTGGGCACCAGACTCTGGGAACATGGACAGAGCCCAAGGAAACACCAGCAGAACATTTCCGAGCTGCAGCTTTTAATTTGTTTCCTAATTTTTTTTTTCCTGTAAGAGAGAGTCAACCCACGTTGCCCATCACCCTTTGGAAAGGCCCAGGACTGCTGTTCATCACACACATCCAGGTGTTCAGCAGCTTCCAGCTCTACAGCTCCCTTCGGTGCCGTAGCTGGGGTGAAAAACGACTTGTGGCTTCAGCAAAGGCTCATCCACCCCAGGACCCCCAGAGCTGGTCCCCTTTTTACCTTTTCTCCCATGGGGCAATAGCCTTTGAGGAAATCCTGGCATATTTCTGCCTTCCTGGACACGTAGACGTGGCTGTAGGGGCAGTTGCTGTTGCTGCAGATCCCCTTCAAGAAGTAGGAGCACACCGGCATCTGCAAGGACAGAGGATGAGAAACCCATTAGTGTCCCCCCCTCCTCGACTCGTGATTAGGAACCAGTCCAACACCCAGAACTGAAATAAAACCCTGACACGTGTAAAATAAATATATGCCTTTTGCCAACCACCGATCCCAGAGGTATTTTTAGTTCTTCTATTGGTCTCCTGCAACGCAGCTCCTGGACATTACGGGGTCCCGGTGAATATATGCAGGAGAGGGTGGAAAGCATGGAACTGCCATGGGGAAGGGGTGGAGGAATCGTAATGAAGTCTATTTAATTGTGGGGGCTTTGCTGGCACGATGCACGTGGCAGGTTGATCTTTTGTCGACGTTCCCAACTAACCTTGTAGAGGAGAGAAGGGGTGGCTGCTCCCCGGGATCCTCGCTCGCAAAAGGCACTAAGCTGAGGGATGCTCCAGGAGGGAGGGAAAGGATGAGGAGAGCCCAGGCTCAAGGGATGATCCAGGAGAGATGGTCCAGGGGGGAGGGAAAGGAGAAAGAGAGACCAGGCTCGAGGGATGATCAGGGAGGGAGGGAAAGGGGAGAGGAGAACCCAGACTTAAGGGATGCTCCAGGAGGGATGGTCCAGGGGGGGGGGAAGGGGGAAAAGAGCCCAGACTCAAGGGATGCTCCAGGAGGGAGAGAGCGAGGAGGAGATCCTGGGTACGAGGGATGTGCCAGGGAGGATGTCCCAGGAGGGAAGGAAAAGAGGAGGTGAGCCCAGACTCAAGGGATGCTCCAGGAGGGAGGGAAAGGAGGAGGAGAGCCCAGGCTCAAGGGATGCTCCAGGAGGGAGAGAGAGAGGAGGAGAGCCTGGGTACGAGGGATGTTCCAGGGAGGATGTCCCAGGAGGGAAGGAAAAGAGGAGGAGAGCCCAGACTCAAGGGATGCTCCAGGAGGGAGGGAAAGGAGGAGGAGAGCCCGGGCTCAAGGAACACTCCAGGAGGGATGGTCCAGGGGGGAGGGAAAGGGGAAAAAGAGCCCAGACTTAAGGGATGCTCCAGGAGGGAGGGAAAGGGGGGAGGAGAGCCCAGACTTAGGGGATGATCCAGGAGGGAGAGAGGAGGAGACCCTGTGTACACGGGATGTTCCAGGGAGGATGTCCCAGGAACAGGAGGGACATTTTCTTTCCCAGGAAGGAAAGAAAAAAAGGAGGAGAGCCCAGACTCAAGGGATGCTCCAGGAGGGAGGGAAAGGAGGAGGAGAGCCCGGGCTCCTGCCACGAGCAGTGGAGGATGAGAGAGGTCGGATCCACGGAGCCGAGTCCCACTCCCGCACTCCCTGCTCCCCAGCTTTAGCAGCTCACCAGCCGACGGGGAAAAGCGAACGAGCAAAGGATCCTCATCGTCCTCAAACCACAAACTTCACCTTCTGCCAGCTGTTTATCATTAAAAACAAATTACCAGCCTGCTGCCATATTTCAGCCTCCTTAACTCACCGGCTACCACGGGCAACTTCCCCACCCGCCGACGGAAACACGCGCATCCCGGAGCCGCCGCGACGATCCGGCTCCTCCCGCTCCATCCCTGGCCCTTCTCCTACACGTGGAATTTCCTTCCTGCTCGGAGCAGCTCTCCATCCCTCCGTTCACCCCGGTAGCATCTCGGTCCCGCCGGTTCGAGCATCCCCCAAACTAATATTTACAATTCTCTAATAAGCAGCGCCGAGGCTATCGGGGAAAAATCCCTCTCCCTGAAGGGCACATGAGGGTTTTTACTAAATTGGCTCATTTGAGGCCAAGCGAGAAATAAGAGAGAAGGAGGGGGAAGCGGAGGGGAAAGAAAACAAAGGGTGCTTTAAAAGAGAAGAGTTTATTTTTAATTGTCTTTTAACTGCAGACATTAACATAAAGGACAGGGCTCTGGGGCTATCTTTTTTTGGTGGTGGTGGTGTGACCGTAAATGATTCCCTTAATGTAGTTTTTGATATAGAGCCCAAATTAGCTCTAATAAAAAGGGATAATAAAGGCAGCTCTTCGACAAAAATAAACTCCTCCTAGCTGTCAAGCCTGAGCCATTATCAAGAGGAAGCAGCACTCTCATTTCAATTAACCTTGTTTGCACCCCACTACGTCCACACAAATAACAATAACATTAATTCAAGGCACTGGTGCGGTGCGTCCATATTAGACAGCTTTGACTATGTACAGGCTTTGGAGCCAGCAGCTAATGAACCCGAAACTCAACGTGAATTTCCAAATTGCTCACAACAGAGTTTTGAAGCTCTATTAGGGAGAAAAATGCTGATTCTTTTCGAGTTCCTCAAGGGGAAAAGCTGTTGTAGCAGCAGCGGGGCGGTTGCCCGAGTCCTAGCCTCTCGCTAACCTTCACTCACAAACCCATTCAGTCAGATTTACTGGTTTCTCTCAGTCGCTGGGACGCGCCGGTGGCTCTGCCCTGGGGTGGAGAAATGCCCAGCACGGCACTTCCACGGATGCTCTTCCACCCAAGGGATCTGCCCTGCATTCCCTGCAGAGTAAGATTCCCCGGATGCCAGTTTTCCCGCTCCCCCAGGCTCCTTTATCCATTGCCAGAGGGATAATTTGGGCTTTGAAAGCATCTGCAGAGCATCGTGCCCATCTGGAGGAACCCTCCAACCCAGAGAGCATCCTCGGCTTGAAGCAAGTGTTTTGCTGCTTAGGATGGGGAGAAGCTCCCCACTGCTTTTCCCAGAGAAAAAAGAGGGATTGTCCCTGTTTTCCAGTGGGGAAACTGAGGCACGGGATTGCTCCAAGGTTGAGCAAGACTTTCATCCTCAAATTAACAGCTAAACACCCCCCAAGATTTGGTCCTTCCCTTCCTGGACTTGGCCGTGTGGCTCCATCCTTGGTGACTTCCCACCAAGGTGGGACACGACGACAACCTGAAAGCTCCTCCAAGGAGGAATTTGTGGGGTGTCCCCCCACCCCATAACCACAAAGTGAAATCAAGAGTCATAGAATCATAAAATCATAGAATCATTCAGGTTGGAAGAGACCCTTGGGATCATCGAGTCCAACCATCTCCCCTACTCTACAAAGTCCTCCCCTACACCATGTCCCTTAGCACTGCATCTAAACGGCCCTTAAACACAGCCAGGGATGGTGACTCCACCCCCTCCCTGGGCAGCCTGTTCCAATGCCCTATCACTCTTTCGGTGAAAAATTCTTTCCTAATGTTATTTAAGGGGGCACTGGCAAATCTGGCAACTCCCAGATCACTGCGTTGCCATTAAACACCCCAAGAAAATAATTCGACGCGTTAAAACCCCAACTCAAATTGCCCAAAACAAGCTGCCCCCCCATTCCCTCATCCGAAAAGCTCCAAAAAAACCTCAGAAGCAGGGGGAAAAAATGCTGTTTTCCTTTGCTGAGCAGCTTCACCTGCCTTTCTCCACCGCTGATAAATGAGGCGAACGCCACCTTTGGTAGTAATCACCCGGGTTAAGAGGGAGCTCCGGGCGTTGAAAAGCGAAGTCGCCTCTCGCTGTGGGTAGCAGCATCCCCGCAGCTATAAATCACCCTCAAACAGGTCTGAACTCTGCCAAGGAAGGTTGTTTCTCTTCCAGCCCCCACTGACGACAAGGTGGTGAGCGGAGACCTCTGAACCGGGACACACACCCCCCCCCCCGCAACGGGGGGCGTCTAATCCTGCAAAAAATAATCCTCCTTTCCCCGCCGAGCGGCCAGAAAACACAGCATTTGTTACTAAGGCACGTAAAAGAGCTGGCTTCGTTTGTGGGCTCGTTAATTTAGTGACTCAGCTTGGGTTTAGATGATGCGTTGATAGTGGCCAACTGCTACAGAAGGAGTTGAGATGGGCAGAGGCCACCCGTGTCCCATGGGATGCCTTCCCAGGGACCATGTCCCCAAAAATGAGGGTGGCAAATCAGCTCTTCTGCAGGAGACTTCAGCACAGCCACACCTTTTAACTCAGTTTTACACTGATATTATCATTATCCTTCCCCAATTTCTAATTGGCAAAGTGCTGCTATGGGGGACAGGTTGAGTTTGCCACGCCACCAGCCACTGGTCCCCATTTATCCCCCCTAAAACAGAGCCCAGGAGCCAAAAGCTTGAGGTTCTGGTTGAGCCACCAAGAAACATCGGTGTTTCTGGAGGGGATACTGAGGCCATATCTCCACCAGCAAATTAAACATGCCGAGGAATATTCCAAACTCATCCACATCCAACCATTGCATCCTTTGGTTGGACACGGTTGAGGCCAAACCGCCGACCACAACAGCTCCTTGGCCACCTCTAACTCCCAAGTCTCCCCCAGGTTTTTGCCCTGGCACCAAACCCAAGCTCCAGCATCTGCTGAAATACCATTTAACACACCAGTATAGATGTAAACCAACAGTCCTGGATGTTGAATATCAATCCTTCAGCTCAGAGGCACAGGCAGAGGGTTCCATGCTGCTGTTAGGACTTGCAAATCACTTACTGGGGTGAAAAGAAGTCCCCACCCCCACGTTCCACCCCAAATCTTCATTAATTACAACAATTCTGGATACGCCACCAGGCAGTGCTTTTGCAAAGCTTTCTTCTTCCGTGCCTTCTTTATTTCTGAAGTCGAACAATAAGTTAGAGGAAGGAAAAAAAAAAAGGAAAAAAAAACCCCAAACCAGGCGTCTTTCCTTCTATCAATTCTCATTCCCATCCCTCCTTTGACACGCCACGAGGCAGGGAGTACAGCTGTCCCCAGTCTATCTTCTCTATTTTATATACTCCTGATTAAGTGACTCTGAAGAGAGAGACATGTAAAAAACATATGGTGCTTTGTGTCTCGTTCCAAGCGGCTCCGCTCGCCGCCAGGATAACTTACGAGCTCCCCGCTGACAAGGAACGTGCCCGAGGCGAAGGGAGGGAAAAAGGGAGATGAGATGCCTGCCCCAAGGCAAAGGGTGGTGGAAAAGATCCAAAGATCCCGTCCCAGATGCTGATGAGAGGCGACATCCCATGGGTTAAACCCTTTACAGGTCAGTAATTGCGCTGTAATTACCTACACCACGCTGTGGTTGGGGAACAGAGCACGGCGATGCTCAAAGGGAGAAGGGAGAAGAAGGTGCTGTGAGGACAATTCACAAGGCACGGGCTCAATAACCAAAGGTCGAGTAATTAAAAGTAGTTTTTCTAGATCCAGCACGGCTCGGGTGAGCTCCGGTCCCCGGTCCTATGAGGAGAGGCTGAGGGAACTGGGCATGTTTAGTTTGGAGAAGAGGAGGCTGAGGGGAGACCTCATTGCCCTCTACAACT